AGCTCCCCCCCTGACAGTGCGGCGCTCTCTCAGTAAGTACAGCTCCCTCAGTAAGTACGGTTCCCCCAATATTTAATTGTCCACCACAGCCCCATGTGCACTCTCCCCCATCACTGACTCTTCCCACAGCCCCGTGTACACTCTCCCTCACTTCCACTACACACAGGGAACCTACCTTGAACTGGGGGCTGATGCCTTTGGGCCATTTGACGGGGTCCTTAATGATGATGCTGACCAGCTGGAAGATGCTATTGGTGTAGAAAGGAGGTGTGCCCACGTAGAGTTCGTACAGGATGCAACCCAGTGACCACAGGTCAGCAGTGTGATCATACGGCTTCTCCTCCACCAGCTCTGGGGACATGTACAGGGGTGTCCCCTTGATCGAGGTCAATACCAGTGTCTGCAGGCTCATGGCCCGGGCAAAACTGCATGCATGGAGAGAGAGAGGGTGGGGGAGGGTCTTAGAGACAGAGAGAGACACAAATAGAGTGAGATAGTGAGAAAGGGAGAGACAGATAGAAACAACAAGATAAAGAGACAGTGAGGAGAGAGATAGAGAGCGAATGAGCAAGAGAAACAGAGAGCAAAATGCACAGACAGAGACAGAGAGAGAGAGAGAGATAGAGATACAGTGAGAGAGAGAAAGGGAGTGAGACAGAGGGCCAGAGAGAGAGACAGACAGAGACAAGGAGAGAAAGAGAAAGCAAGACAGAGAGTGGGCGAGTGAGCAAGAGAAACAGAGAGCGAGAGGGAGAGAGAGAGAGAACAGAGGGGGAGACGGGGGGAGACATGGAGAGAGAGAGGGGATACACGGGGGGGGGCAGAGACACGGAGGGGGTTTAGACACAGAAGTCGGGGGGCAACATGGAGGAGGGAGACATGGAGCAGGGGGCAGACATGGAGAGAGAGAAGGGGTGACACAGAGAGAGGGGGGAGACACAGAGAGGCAGGGACAAAGTGGGGAAGGAGCAGCACAAACTAAATTCAGAATAAAACTCCCTTTAAAACCCCTATCACAAAAATAATGCATTTCCACAGTGTGGAGTGTGTTTACTACAGTAGACTGTGCGTTCCAGTCAAGTATACAGTCCAATTACAGACAGCAGCTGTTTGTTAAAGCCCAGTATACACACATCACAGTATATCTATGGACAGCACCCATCCATTACTACCTCCTCAGCACTATTGTCCTGAATGTAAAACACACCATGCATTACTGATCCTTTTATAGGAATCCCCCACACTCAGTATACAATTCAGTAAGTACAAAACACTGCGTTTCAGATCCACATACAGAACACAGGAAGCGTTACAGTCCTTAATATACATTCACACTTCCTGGAAATGTTAACCTCAAATGTTAACAAGGAGACACTCTGTGTGTCTCCCTCCACCTCTGTGTCTAACCCCACTATGTTTCTCCCCCCAAACTCTGTCCCCTCTCTCTCCGTCTCCCCCGTGTCCCCCTCTGTTCTCTCTCTCCTTCTCCCTCTGTGCATTTTATTCCCTGTTTCTCTTGCTCTGTGACACCCTGTGCGTTATAGGCCAATATGTGACATCCCTTGCGTTCCTGTGCAGTCTATCAAATACGCTGTACATTAAAGTTCTGTTTATAAGGTGGACATGTTGATTAGTCACATAGATGTTTCTATATGGCAGCCCATGCCATCTGAACAATAGCTCCCCCATGACACTCTCTGATATTGCCAGATCGCCTACAATGGTGGCAGATATATATGACAGCTTGCCACTTACAGAGACAGGGAGGACAGAAATGGGAGAGGGGGAATGGGCTCCACTTATGGACAACAGCCCACAGGCTAAAGTCCCGCCTGTCGCAATCCCGGATAAAGGCTGCACAATGTTAGCTCAGGTTCGGCCCTACCCAAAGTCGCAGAGTTTGAGGACTCCTCCTTTTCCGAGCAGGATGTTCTGCGGTTTCATGTCACGGTGCAGGATCCGGTGTGAGTGCAGGTAGTACAGAGCCGAGACAAGCTGACAGGCAATATCACGGACCTGTAAGGGAGACGGTCTGAGTCACTGAGGGGGGCCACAGGATTTGCAATGCAATCCACAGGCAATTCCCCAAACCCTAACACGCCACAGTCCTCATACTACGCCCCCACCATACCTCCTTCAGCGCCAACCCTCCAACGGCACAGTGCGGCGCTCCCTCAGCGCCGGCCCTCCGACAGTGCGGCGCTCCCTCAGCGCCGGCCCTCCGACAGTGCGGCGCTCCCTCAGTGCGGAGCTCCCTCGGCCCTGAACTCCAACGGCGCGGAGCTCCCTCAGAGTAGAAATGGCACAGTACAAATCACGCCCTGACCTCTGAGCCCCTTAAGTGGTTTAGATGCGAGTGATTCTCGATTATGAGGGAGTGGGTGAGAGGGAGGAAGGGGAACCGACTGATATACCTGCTCCTCGGGCAGATTTCCGTCATCCTCCAGGATCTGGAACAGCTCCCCTTCTGCAAACTCTGTCACGACCACCACCTGCAAACATAAAAAGATGCCAGACTAAACTCTAAAGAGATACACTCTTGAAATGCTACCTTGGGTGCCATTTCATTTCCCCAACCTTCCCCTCCTGACTCCTCCCATCCTGCAACCTCCCCCCACCCACCAAAGCCTGTCCCACCATCCACAAGGCACAAGGCAGGAGGGTGAGGGAATACTCCCGCCTTGCCCTGGACTGAAGTTGAGGGGGGCAGCTCCAACAACACTCAAGAAGCTTGTCACCGTCCAGGGACAAAGCAGCTCCTCTCCCCCAACTCCATCAAGATGCTGACACCCCCCCCCCACCCACCCCACCCCCTCCCCCCCTCCCTCCCTCCCTCCCACCACAGTGTGTACCGTCTACGAGATGCTCTGCAGCAACTCGCCCACCGTCAACAGGTACTGAACCCACCACCTTTTACCCCTTAGAGGGGCAGTAGATGCAGGTGGCTGGGTGGCTGGGACCACCCTCCCCCACAATTTCCCTTCCGTGACCCTCCCCACACCCTGACAGCCCGAAACGTCAGCCTTCCTTTTCCTATGATGCTGCTTGGCCTGCTGTGTTCATCCAGCTCTGCACCTTGTTGTCAGGGAACAACATGGACTGTTCCTTCAGGGTCAAAGCCCTGGAACTCCCTCCCTGGGGAAACTGTGTCCGTGCGCCACGCAAACGGAGTGGGCTGCAGTGCTTCTAGAAGGCGGCTCACTCCCATCCCAACCATCTCCAGGGTTGGAGGTGGGGGGTGGCATTAGGGAACAGGGTGACAAACGCCGGGCACAGCCAGTGACTCCTGTCGATCAGGAACCAGAGGTCAATGCAGACGGCTTGCTGCAGCTATTGGGTCTAGATGTTCTGCCCCGAGAGGGCTGGTTCAGACACTGGCGGGTGGAGAGGGAGGTGTCGGAGCCTTCCCAGGAGTTGGGGGGGCGGGGTGTGTGTGTGGTGGTGGTGTGGTAGTGGGAGTGGGGAGGGAGTGAGCGATCAGCCACCTCATTGTCTGTCTCCAGGCTATCCAGCATCTGCACGATGTTGGGGTGGCGCAGGCCCTGCATGATCTCCATCTCACGGCGCAGGCTCCTCAGCTCCTTCTCTGAGCGGCCCGTCTTCGGGATGAACTTCAGGGCCACGACCTGCACAGGATTGGGGGGGAGGGGCGGGTTGGTGAAAAAGAGACAGAGAGGGGGTCAGTCACAGGGAGAGACAGAGAGAAATGGGGGGAGGGTAAGGTTGGGGGGTGTGGAGAGAGAGAAAGACACGGGGGTAGGAGGGGTTGAGAGTGGAGGGTGGAGGGGTGAGAGAGAGAGAGAGACAGAGAGAGCATAGAAGGGGGGAGAAGTGGGGTGGGGGAGATGGGAGGATGGGTGAGGGGGGAATGAGTAAGGAGGGAACGAGGGGGGCAGGAGGGGGAAGAGAGTGATGGGGAAAAGAGAATGCGGGAAAGGAGGGGGAAGAGAGCAAGGGAAAGAGAGAGAGGGGGCAAACGGGGGGGGTGCGAGAGAAGGGGTGGGAGGAGGTG